GGTATATATATTAGGTCTTTAGGGAAATCGCTAAGTAGCGAAACATAGTGTTTGTTACAAAAACAATGCAATGTTTTACCCTTCCCCAGACTAAAAAATTGTAATTAAATATACAGCCTACAGCCTACATATTATAAAATGAAGATTATTTTTACCCTTTTTAAGCCACCATTCCGTATATCCTCCCTTAGATACTAATTAATTAGCAAAACAGATTTTTTTTTCTATCTTTATTTTAAGATTTTTGATGTCAAAATGTATAGGATTTTTAAGATGATTTCAAATCTACATGAACAGGAAACCTCTTTGGCTCTGTTCGGCATTTTTAAAACTCTATCTTTTAATATCCATATCAATATATTTCAAGAAAAATATTTTTTTCCTTCCGATGACTTATGCCTACCCTTGACCACCATTCAATGACCACCTAGAGAAGATCATGACCACTTAGAGAAGAGAAGAGAATTAACCTCAGAAATGAACTCCCTGGGCTTTTTTCATGGATTTAGATATATCACTTGCTATAACCTTGTTTTTACTACAGTTAAATCCTAGTCCCTAAATGAGCCATGCATCGAAATAATTTATCAAATGTCGTCTTGAAAAATGTTCAATGGGTTTTATTCTATTTTACGTATTTGGGAAAATAAATTGATAACTATTAATATGCGCGAACAGTTTTAAAGTGCTCCATATAATCATTTAATTAAAAAAAATATCTGCAACATTCCATTATCAGAGAGTGAAGAATACGACATTTGATGCATTCTTTCGATGTATGGCTTATTATGAGTTTAACTGTACCTATGACAACACTTGACCACTTTTCAATGACCACCTGTGAGGTCACGACCGCTCCAAGAGAAAAAATAACCCCGAAAATGAATTCCCTAGAAACATGTATATATTTAAGCTATAAATAGTTGTGGCATTTTTTGCAAATACTAGCCCACTGTGCGCCGGTCCAAATACTAGCCCACTGTGCGCCGGTCCAAATAAAGAATAATGTCTTCAAAAATTTTTATCTTAGAAATCTAACAATTAAAACTGTTAAAAAATCCACGAAATAATTATTATTATTTATAATGTTGAAATTAAAGTAATATATTCGCCCTGAGAGCTAAATATTGATTATCGATTCTTTTAGAATTAAATGAATTTAATTTTCGTTTAAAACCTTGCTGGATACTGGACACTGGGGGTTGGGCGAGGTTGGGGAGGTGGTTGGTAGTGAAAGCCTGGGAGGTATATAAGTATCAGGGGATATATTTAAATTTTTTTCATCTCTCTATTCAATTGAAACATAAATGTAATATTTTGATGATAGAACGGCAGGGGGGGGGGGGTGGACAGGGTAATTATAATATTTGTTTTCTTTGTTGCAAAATTACTCTTTTTAATTTTAGCATTTGTGAAGAAATGTTTATGAGTTATTCCCTTTGGCATGTAAATCTAATCTTAAAAGGGAATGCAGACATAATTTCATGAAACTATGTATTAGCAGATGACAAGCTTGACATCGGTATACACAGATCTTTAATTGTAAAACCGGTTATTATTGTTAACACATTTAATTGCAAGGAGTTTTATTTTAAAAAAATGATTATCTATTTTGTCAGAAAACATAGAAAATAAATATTTGCATTCTAATTTTCAGAAAACCAGGTTTGAAATAGAATATTTAAAATTTGGTGTTGATGTTTGTTCAAACCACAAAAAAGGAAATAAAGCAGACTTTAACAATCAACATTTGGAATTCCAGACATTCTGGTTTGGTAGAAAGGAATTTAGTCTTCGTAACAAACCGAAATTTTCTGATCCCTATATCTCTGCAACCTGATGGTATAAACTTTTGATATTTCAAATTTTGAATATATAACCTGACAAAATACGTATTTTGAAATATCTAAGGTTTACCCCATCGGGTTGTAAAGATAATGGGATAGAAAACCAGAGTTTGTGTCAAAGACTCAATTCCTTCCCATTAAGTTCAAACTGTACACTAGTGTACACTATTGTACACTAGTGTACATTCCATTTTCCCGGTGTAGCGTTACATCCAGACCGTGCGTTATATTTGGTCCGGGTGAGTGTTACATGTGAAATCCATGTACAAAATTGATAGGAGGGGGGTCAAAAAATCGCATATTAGGAAATTACCGCTGGTTATGTACAAAAATGATAGAACGGGGGGGAAACAAAAAATTTTAACAGTTTCAATAACAATGATAATGTGCATGCTTTGGGTCCATCAAAGTAAACAATTTTTTGACCCCCCCCCCTTCCCCCTCCAATCAATTTTGTACATGGATTTCACATGTAACACTCACCCGGACCAAATATAACGCACGGGCCTTATTTAACGTAACACCGGCATTTTGGCATTCAAATTTTGCAAAAGAAAGTTCTTCCGCCGGGAAAATGAAAATAATGTTCATGTTGGCCCTTTTCTCGTGCTTCTGTATTCCATTTATATTTTATTAAGAATATTCTCTCTTAAAATTTGTTTTAGAATAACATTTCTAAAAGAAATATTTTCTTTTCAATCTTCCAAAGTTTTTTTTAATCTAACTTTGGTTAATTTCCATTGAAAATGATAAGATGGTTGAATTATGTAGAATGTTTTACTGGATATTTTTAATGAAAAATTGTAATTAATTTTTTCAAGCATCATCATTTTACTAAGATTTCACGTTAATGACAACCTAGAGTTCTAAAATACATCTTAAACCAAATCATTGGTATAATGTAGCGTGATCAAGATATCTGTGAAATATATGTCGTCTTTGTTTTCCTTTTAATTATTCGGAATATCGTCTTTATTTTTTCTTTTAATTATTCTAAATATTGTCTTTGTTTTTTGTTTTACTCAGTAAAATTTGAAATCGTTAAAACTGATGATATGAAACTGGTTTATATTTCTCACATACAGGGTGTCCCACAAAATGAAACAGTTTAAAGATCGTCTATTATATCTAAACAAATTTGCGGCATTCATTTGTCAGCATACTTTAACAAACAAACACTAAATTTCCCAAGTCCTGAGATTTCCAGAATGTGGTCTGTATTTGTACTTATAAACTTTATGTGCTCAAAAACTTGGTTAGGATTTCAATTAAAACAGAAATTGTCAAAATATGAACGAAACGAAAAAAGGCACATTTTGGAAATGCGAGTCATGGAATATAATAAATTGAAGAAAATCACTTCGAAAATTGTTTGACAAATTAATTTCCGCAAGCTATTTCAATGATTAACAACGACCTAAAGTCGTCTCTCAACTGTCGTTTCGTTAGACAGCCTGTATTCAACGTTGTGCACGAAGATGAATAATACGATATCGAAAACCGGCCACTTCAACGGTCAACCCTACTTTTTTGTAAGATTTGTTCTTGCTTCGAAGCCAGTGGATGATATCCCCCCTCCCCCCCCCCACCAGGAAAGTGTTCAACAATCTATATATTTTTGTTCTTAAATTAATATCCGCAGCTTAAAACGAAGTAAATCGTTTTTATAAAAAATTCATTACAAATATTTTCAATATCCGGAAAAGCTTGTCTCAAAAATAAAATCTAATATCAATTTAATTTACACTATATAAAAGCAAATCGAAATAAATGTTTTTTAAAACCTTTTAACTATTTTTATTTTTTAAATGAAACAATCTACAGCTTTGCGCTGGCTTGTCTAAAATTTAGTTCTGAATTTTTTTCCAAATCAAAACTTTCCGTTTTTCACTTCAAATAGTGTATTTTTTGTTGACTATAGAATACTGCAATTAATAAAAATTATTTTTGTATTTTTTTCAGTTATACATTTCATTTAATATTTAATTATTTTGCCAACTGTCAGTTTATCTAGTTTGGAAATCTGGATTTACAGAGACTATCAACGTTAATTCAAGTGAACATGGAGGCATTTCAGATTCACAACAGTACCCCTACCAAGTTTTAACTGATCTGGAATGTGCGAAATATCAATATATTTTTTGAAAATTCGTTATTTTTGGTGTTGATTGTTTAGTACCAGTGGCTTGCAGATTTCGTGCTTCAGAAACAGTGGAAAAAATTGTCATAATTCAACACTTTTTAAGCTAGAAAAACGAGGATATCTCCCACATTATTGATCAGATCAAAATTTAACGGGTAACGTAGTGAAGGGTCACTTAAAATTGCAGAACAGTCTCTTTTAGAAGTATTGTATTAAGAGTTATAAAGGTTATCTTTCATTCAGAGAGCTGTTTACAACTGAAAACTGTTTGTATAATGTCATTTGAATTGATTTACTGCATAATTGATCACTAATTGATTATCAATCTATTTTAGAGAGATTGTATATGCGTAACTGTATGTGCGTTAATCCACGAATCACTTTTACAAAAAAACCACAATTGACAATAATCAATTTTTAGAATAAAAAAGAATATCTTATTGATCCTTGATCAAACAAAGGTATAAAGGGTACTGCCACAAACAAAGGTATAAAGGGTACTGCCACAAACAAAGGTATAAAGGGTACTGCCACAACCAAAGGTATAAAGGGTACTGCCACAAACAAAGGTATAAAGGGTACTGCCACAAACAAAGATATAAAGGGTACTGCCACAAACAAAGGTATAAAGGGTACTACCACAAACAAAGGTATAAACGGAGCTGCCACTCAACTATTATAAATCTGAGATCTTGTCTTCGATCTCTTTAAGATCAAAAAGTAAAACGATAAATCATTCAATTTTTTTCTGATTTTGAATTAATGAATAAATGAATGGATTAATTAATAGGTTTTTGTTTTTACAAATGTTGCGTTATAGACATGCTTAATGATATCAATATATTCAGATTTGGTCTCGATATTTCACAATACATTTAGAACATGATTAACACTAGTAATTTACATATGGATATATAAATACAATATATTTAGGATATCGTTAACCCTAGCTTGTACTATAGATATATAAATACAATTTATTTAGGATATCGTTAACCCTAGCTTATCCTATGGATATTGATATATTTAGGATATCGTTAACCCTAGCTTGTCCTATGGATTTACGTCTCTACCCTCTGGATAAACAAGTTTGTGTTCTACAGATTGCCAGCTGTAAGTATCTTTATTATTTTTTATTATTAATTTTTGAAAACTATAATTATGGACAAGACTTTTTCCTATTTCTGGTTAAGTTTACACGAAAACAAAAAGAAGCTGTTAATTGACAGCTGCTCTCTGTTTCCATGTTTAAATGTATCCATGCTGTGTGAAAGCTTGGTAGAAATAAAAAATCGAAATCGAAAGTCGTCATTATTGTATTGATATATACGAAGACGACTGTATACTTACCTAAAAGTTCAACGCTTGCAAAAAAATTGGAAAATATACAAATAATTCGAAAATGAATTGTAAAAAGAATATTTAAAAATCCTGATAAATTTCTTAATCAAGTTTTGACTGAAAATAACTTCAGTTTAGAATTAAATATCATTATTATTATACATTTTTTACAAAATCAAGACTCTGACTCTGTAACGTTGATCTATAGAGCTAATTGTAAAATCAATTAAGGGTGATCTTGAAATGCAAAGTGTACTAAAATCTTTAAAAAGCAGGTAGAAATTCTTTTAAGATTGAAATAAGATCGTTTCATGAATATTCATCTAAATATAAACAACTGTTTCTTGGACTGGTAGAATTGCAAACTTTCTTGTTAATTGTATTCAAGAGACAAATTAACTTTGAACGGAAGAAAATAATTTGATATCGCCTCTCTCTGATTTATACATGATGTATAGTACTCTCTGATTTCTATATGACTAGAAATTCAAGGCGCTTCGCGCCCTTCTTTCTAGCCTAAGAGGGCGCTTCGCGCCCATCTTCTAAATTAGTTGTGAACATGTTCTCTTTGTGTACATCGTAAAACAAAACAAAAATAATTCGCGGATTTTTACAAAAAATTTCGCGGATTTTCAAAATTTTTAAAAGGGATGGATTGAAAATTGTAAGATTTAACAGACAAGTTAGAAATAAAACTGGGTTCTGGAGATAAACTTGTTTGCAGGATATATTTAGGATAAATACAATATCTCAAGGTAAACAAGATCAACATTTTGGTCCAACAAGAAACAAATTTCCCATATAAGAGGAGACTATTCCTAACACAAGAGCAACTATTCCCACAACAAGATCAACTTTTCCTACAAGATGATCTATTCCAACAACAAGATCAACTATTCCTACAATAAGATCAACTATTCCAACAACAAGATCAACTATCCATACAACAAGATCAACTATTACTACCAAGCAAGAACAATTCTGTTATAAAAAACGATCAGTCTACATTCACATATTCACATATTGGAAGAATAAAAGATTTTTCCATTTCCAAGACTTTGATTTAAAATCCTTTCCTGGATTAAAATAGAAAAGCAATCTAAAATCAGACATTCAAATTATTTCACAATTGATAAATTATTCGGAAAATATATAAAAATGTAATTCTATTTTTATTTACGTGTTAGTAACATTATATATTATACATTATATTCTCTGGGGACAGATCTTATACATTCACTGTATATCTAATTTAAAAACATTATAATCTTCTGTGGGCCACAGAAAACAATGAATACAACGAATTTTAACTTAATTAGACTGCTTTCAGGCGTCTACCTTTTACAGAGTTTTGTGCACTACGCTGAATAATAATTTTTTTTTGGTATTTCAAAGTAATTTTTAATTAAAGATTGTGATAACTCACTCTATATCAATTACTAGATAAACGTTACGTACATTTTTTTATTGAAAATAAGAAAAAAATAACAAAATAAAGTAAATTTTCAAAACTTTAAAATTTCCATATCGGCAAAATAAAATTTTTGCATTAAGGTATAGATTCCCTCTGGGGGTTTCAAAATAAACTTTTGCAAAATATTCTTAAATTTTGCAAAGATTCCTACCCAACATGACATCTTACACAATTTGTTATGTCAAGGATAAAAGAGTCAAACATTGCATAAAATATTCAAATTGTATTTGAAAGTTATGATATCTACATATTTCAAATTAAACTTCAACTTTCCTAAAAAACTGTATTTTCTTTAAGTAAAAATAACCTTCCAAATATTATTAAAATGACATTTTGATAACTAAATAAAAAGTAAGGAAAGATTAAGCTATGGAATGAATAAGAAAGGATAGAGTAAGGAAGGATTGATAAAGGTAGGTTTGATGAATGGAAAGATTGTGTAAGAAAGGATTGAGTAAGAATGGCTTGAGTAAGAAAGGATTAAATAAGAAAGGATTGAGTAAGAAAGGATTGAGTAAGAAAGGATTGAGTAAGAAAGGATTGTGTAAGAAAGGATTGTGTAAGAAAGGATTGTGTAAGAAAGGGATTGAGTAAGAATGGCTTGAGTAAGAAAGGATTAAATAAGAAAGGATTAAAGTAAGAAAGGATTGTGTAAGAAAGGATTGTGTAAGAAAGGATTGAGTAAGGAAGGATTAAGTAAGGAAAGATTGAATAATGAAGGATTGAGTAAGAAAGGATTGAGTATGGAAGGATTGAGTAAGAAAGGATTGAGTAAGAAATGATAGAGTAAGAAAGAATTAATTAAGAAAGGATTGACAAAGAAAGGATTGAGTAAGAATAGATTGAGAAAGAAAGAACTGAGTAAGCAAGGATTGACTATGAAAGAATTGAGTAAGAGTAGATTGAGTAAGAAAGGACTAAAAAAGAAAGGATTAAGTAGAAAGAATTGAGTAAGAAAGGATTAATTAAGAAAGGATTGAGTAAGGATGGATTAATGAAGGAAGGATTGAGTAAGAAATGATTGAGTAAGAAAGGATTAAATAAGAAAGGATTAAGTCTGAAAGGATTAAGTAAGGAAGGATTGAGTAATAAAGGATTGAGTGAAAATAGATTGAGTAAGAAAGGATTAAGTAAGAAAGGATTGAGTAAGGAAGGATTGAGTAAGAAAGGATTGAGTAAGGAAGAATTGAGTAAGAAAGGATTGAGTAAGAAAGGATTGAGTAAGGAAGGATTCAGTAAGAAAGGATTGAGTAAGGAAGAATTAATTAAGGAAGGATTGACTAATAAAGGATTGAGTAAAAATAGATTGAGTAAGAAAGGATTAAGTAAGAAAGGATTGAGTAAGGAAGGATTGAGTAAGAAAGGATTGAGTAAGGAAGAATTGAGTAAGAAAGGATTGAGTAAGGTTGTATTCAAATTATGCTGAAGCTGAGAGAAAGTTTAGAAAATGTTAAATGTTTCCAAGAATCTGGTTTGGTTTGGTTTGGTATAGAGGTCGTGGTGCAAACTTTGATAGAGATCATATTCCTGTTTTAGGATTATACATAATTAGATACCGAGGTTTAGTTCCCATCTAATTTAAGGGGAAACTAGATAAAATAGAAAAATAAACATTAGATTTCAGAATTTTCTTTTTCTAATATTATTTTGTATAGATGGGTGGGCAACAGATGATCTTGTTTACAAATGGAAGGATGTTGATCCTGTTCAGATTGTTCCTGGTCTTCATCTTCCAAGGTATGTACGCTTTAACCTTATGTACACATATATATGCAAAAGTATGCTTAAATATTGCAAGGATACGTTATAACCTTGCATGCAACTTTCGTACAACAGTATACTTTTACATACAGTACAATTGTACACTTTAATCATGTGAAGTTGGCTACAATCACTAGTTACCTTTGGGATGGATTGGGTAACAAACAGCAATATACGTTTATTTTGAGACCGTCAACGAACTGAAATAATAGTTCATGAAGAAAAATAAATATAAAAAAAGAACAAACAGATGTGTTTAAAAAGAACAGTTAATTCTTCTTCTTCAACTTGCATGAAACTTGCAGAAAATAATAGATAAAGTTGTTATTTTTTTATTTTTGTTTTCATGTTTTTTTTATAGTTTTTTTTTAACATCATCTTCTAATTTTCTCGCAATTTTTGCATGAAATAATCGTAAACGGCTCGTTAATGGCTTTAGCCGTTAACAATTGCTAAAATGTCTTTTGTTAATATCGTTAATAAGATTCCAGATCGTTAATAAGCTGTAATCTTTTAAAAGAATGAAAAATACCGTTAACTAAAAATGAACGGAACAAAAACGAACAGATACCTGAAAAGCTGGTCTTTTTAACGAATTTAGTTAACCATTATAGAACTGTTGGAAAATTGATAAATTTGCCCAGCCCCACCTTTAGTTGACGTTTTGAATTTGATTTCTCATTTACGGAATTGTAAGTATATGCACAAAACGTTGTATATTTTTGGCAATTATCACTTCTCAGTCGCAAACCATTTGTTTTGGTAGACATGAAGAAAAATAAATATGTTTCCTTGCAATTCTATGTTTACATTGCTTTGATTTTTCTTTGGGTTGTATCCATTAATCTCCAGTAGAGAGAAGTCTGGAGGCTTTAATTCCAGGCAACTTTTCTACTCAACATTATTTACTTTTTATCAAGGGATTATTTTTTATATTTATTAGCCTTTAAGCCAGAACTTTTGTGCTGTGAATCATATATTAATCCTCATCTTACGCTGATCCACGGATTAATTAAATTCACCCTTTGATATTTGATATTTACAGGCGACGTTGAGATTAAGTCTTGAAGATTAGACCATTTCTTTATTTCTTTGTTTTGGTTATTAAGTTAAAGACCTCCATATAAGAAGAAATTATTAAATCCGTACACACTGGACCTTTTGGTTCATTTGAAGTCCTTACAAGACTTGAAGTAAGCTATAGAGGAAGTTGTACGGTATGTATACAAAGACCACTGATAGCAAAACAAAATTTATAATTCCCTCCTATGAAGCTTAAATCGTATAGGGATCCCGTTTTCCAGGATTTACAAAATTTATACATTTTGTAAGTGAAATTATCTTTTGTTTAGATTTACCCTTGAGCAGTACAAAAGTGCGTACTGCAATGTAATAACAAATACTGGTAAGCATTTTTTTTTACAAATTCTTCATTTTTAATGTTAAGAATAAGATAAGGATGGTTAAAGAATAAGATAAGAATAATTAAAGAATAAGATAATGATGTTTAAAGAATAAGATAAGGATGGTTAAAGAATAAGATAATGATGTTTAAAGAATAAGATAAGGATGTTTAAGGAATAAGATAAGGATGTTAAAAGAATAAGATAAGGATGTTTAAGGAATAAGATAAGAATGTTTAAAGAATAAGATAAGGATGTTTAAAGAATAAGATAAGGATGTTTAAAGAAGAAGATAAGGATGTTTAAAGAATAAGATAAGGATGTTTATAGAATAAGATAAGGATGTTTAAAGAATATGATAATGATTTTTGAAGAATAAGACGAACATATTTGAAGATTAAGAATACTAAATGCAAGAGTAAATATATATCTCATATTTAAGAAACAATTGAGTATATTTAAAGGTTATACGCAGATTTAAAAAAAATCATATTTAACGTAAAACGTACAGTTTAAAAGTAAAGCTTTAAAAGAAAAGATGGATATGTTTTGTTAAAACTAGAATGGAGTATTCTAGTTTCTAAACAAGTCTTGAAACTTTCTAATTTATTTTATAAAGTTAGAAGAAGGATATTGACAGATTTGAAGTGTTATGAAAAAAAAAATTTAGTTAAACAATGTAGAAATAGTAAAAGTTTAAATCATACGAAGTAATATTTACATTTAATATTACAAAATTCTAATTTAAATTCAAATTCATAAATTTCATAACTTTTGACAACTTCAAAACATTAAAATAGAAAAAAATATTATAAACATGTTTCTTTAACAAAATGTTCAAAATATTTTATTGAATTTAGCAAAATTATGCAACCTTTTTTAAAAGTTTTTTTTCAAATATAAATATAGTTTTTTTAGTTGTTTATTTTATCTTTTTTGAACATTGTCTTAAAAGATGGATTGTGTTTAGTTGAACATTATGGTGTAAAAACAAACAAACAGACAAACAAACAGACAGACAAACAAGCCAAATTTATATATAGATGTATGTATAGTTTGAGTGTATAGTCGACCCCCAGTATAAGTAGTTGGTCTCCCTAGACCCAGCCCTTTCAACTTTATATATAAATGATCTGGTGTGTCAAAAGTAGATGTGGAGGGGGGGGGGAGGATATATAGTCGCAATGTAATGGATTGAAGAGAGGATGGGGTATAAAAAAACGCTATAACATATAAAACGCCAGTAACGAAAAAACGCTACACTCTTAAACGCTAGTAAAGAAAAACGCAACTCTATCATAACATCATAATATCAGGTTTAAACTGGAGAATGCATTATAAATTGTCTTTTCTATAGATCGTTACATACAGGGGTATGGAGTAGGATAGGGGGGGATGAGATGGAATTGTGTTATAAAATGTTATAAATATTTAGTATGGTCTCAAAAATATTGTTAAAGAAACATACGACTAAATACTCAATAAAAACAGCTCTAAAAACAGTTTAAAAAAATCTGAATTGGTTAAATTTAAAGATAAGGCTAGATTCGAACTCGTCCAAATTTTCCAAGTTTAATATGTTGGCGAACCATGTTGGTAATTTATTCTAAATTAAACGTGAGATGGCAAACAAAAAAAAGCAAGGTCTAAAGACGCATTATCAAGCAACCCTTCATTGGCATGCGTGTTTCACAAGTCACAACGGTACCATTGAAAGCTTAGCCTGATAAATTAGATATGCATTTTTTACTGATCATTTTTATTTATGGTTTCTCCACAAATGTTACTCGAGCATTTCTTGCTTCGGAAGTAATTAATAAATTATTAAAATTAAAGATTTCTAAAGCTTAATAAACCACGTTATTGTTTATCAGATACAGGTAGTTTTCAAGGGTACCCTTGTGAATCGTGCATGTCCCTTTTTGAAATAAATTTAGAGCAGATTATAGTTTGTTATCTGGGTTAAAACAAGAATAATTTTTCTTTTTTCTTGTAAATTTCCGATTTTATAGATAGTTTGATAATGGTCAAATTTCAAGAAACGGATACAGTGGAAACCGCCAAAAAAGTTTCTGAAATTTTTTTTCGGAAATAAAGTCCTAAAATTTGGCATTGAAAAGTCCTTTTTTTAAACGTCTAAGACTTTTTTCTTCGGATTTATATTCTTCAAAACTTTAGTTTCTGTGATCTTATTTTCTGAGATTTATTGGCAGTCCCCACACTAATTTAGGAAAAAAATTTAAAACTCGGAACTTTTTTGTCATAAGACTTCAGAAAATTGGGAATTTTTTACCAGAGTTTTTATTTCCATTTTTTTCCAACAACATTTTTTTTCTCGTGACTTTCTTATAGATCAATTCGATACAGTTCAGCACAATATTTTATATACATTTAGTACAAGTGCTTATGTACAGGTGAATACAGTTGTCTGAAGGTTGAACTGATCTTTAAGCGTGAGTTCTCCTACTACCTCATCACTATATATGTTCCTTGCTGTATGCTAGTTATAGTTTCATGGGTCTCATTCTGGTTAGATCAGAACGCAATTCCAGCAAGGTAAAAATGATGATGATGATGATGATGATAATGATGATCATTATATTATATCATTATTAATATTAATAAATAATTGATCATTATTCATAATCAAGATATGATCATCATATTATGATGTTGATGCTAATAATGATTATGATGATAATGATGATAATGATCCTTATATAAATGATGAACCTGCTCGTTATGATGATGATGATGATGATGATGATGATGATGATGATGATGATGATGATGATGATGATGATGATGATGATGATGATGATGATGATGATGATTATCCCTGGGGGTGACTACCCTATTGACGATGTCGACGCAAACCTCTGGTATATCTGCCCAGCTGCCCCCTGTATCCTATACTAAGGTATACCATGCCCAAAAAGTCACCCTATCCCTATTTTTCCAAATACTTACGAAGTTTTAGAGCAACTTTTTTTTTAATAAATGATGTTACGACCATGTCAGATGAAATTTATAGGAAATCAATAATTGCTAAATTTAGTTTAGATGAATTCACAATAGAAAGACGAATTAGTGAATGCAGCGTTGTGTTTTGTAAAATAGATATGCACTGATGCAGTATTCACGGCATTCAGTAGAACTTGATGTTAAAATATTTTCGCATTTAATCCACGGTCATTTTAGTTCACACAGTAAAAACTGCACAATTGCGTTATCAGGTTCCTTTGTAGTCGATAAAATGTAAAAGGATTACAGAGTAACATTGTGAATTCTTTTTAAACCCTATTGTGTTCCAGAAGAGTCTCAATCTTTTCTACAAAAGTTAGAAAATTAAAACATCACTTACACATCAGTGCAAATAGATTATCAAGTAAAGAGGTGGCAACAGAGAAATGGACCAAGTATACACAACGTTACAAGTGCCAAATATAATAAGAAAAACGAAAAAATTGTCACAATAGTTGACACATTTTCCAAGATTAAATAAAAGAGTGTAAAAACAGATAAAATTGCACTTATTTTACTGTAAGAAAAGCACTTTATTCTAAAATTATTACGATTATTAACAATTTTGACGGATACAAAAATCGAATTGACACTTGTTACGTCAGAATACAGCTGTACTGAGAGTGTACAAATTATACGTTGCAATCTATTGTAATAGAATGTATTTATATCAGATTAACTTATTTAAAGAGACAACTCGCGCAATCTTCATTTTGGTGACGATGAACCTGTCTAATTTTAGTTCTATCTGAAAATTTGTATCTTTGCAAAAAAATGGTCTTTTCAAACTTAAAAACATTAGATACCATTCTTTATCTCAATACAGAATTGATGAGAATCGTTTAAATGAACATTTTTGATTCTTTTTTACAGTTCATATTTTTAGGCGATAGATGTTTGGACCGGGGCCTGTCAGGGATTTGTATTCTGCGCGCTCCTGGAGTTTGCTTTAGTTAACTATGCTAGCAGGTAAATTCACATGTTGTGTGTCTGTACCAAAAGAGTGTGCGTGTGTGATAACGAACTCGTCTGCAAAGCAGTGCGACTGGATTTCTTATGCCAGACCAGCGCCATTGTCTTATTAACAAATACACTTAATGTTGGTGAAATGTCGTCTTATTGACAAATAAACATAATATTGCTGAAATGTTGTCTTATTAACAAATACACATAATATTGCTGAAATGTTGTCTTATTAAAAAATACACATAATATTGCTGAAATGTCGTCTTATTAACAAATACACATAATATTGCTGTAATGTTAATTGTCTTATTAACAAATACACATAATATTGCTGAAATGTCGTCTTATTAACAAATACACATAATATTGCTGTAATGTTAATTGTCTTATTAACAAATACACAAAATATTGCTGAATTGTCGTCTTATTAACAAATACACATAATATTGCTGAATTGTTGTCTTATTAACAAATACACATAATATTGCTGAATTGTCGTCTTATTCCCATAATATTGCTGAAATGTCGTCTTGTTATCCCACATGTTTTAAAAGTATCACTCTTCTGTTTGTATAAGAGCTATTGAGAAGAACAAAAATGTAAAATCTTCTTGAAAGATTCTAAAACTCAACTTATCTTTTTCTGCACGAATACTCAAATATATATTCATATCATTACTTTTACTATTATCCTAATATCATGATATAAAAAAGAAATGATAAAATGAAAGTAAAGGAATTAAGCTTTTGTCACAAAGTCTATTTTGCTAATCTTTATATCTTCACAGCCCGATGTCATATTTGATATTTCAAATTACAAATTCGGGTAGATCAATTAGTATAAGTTTGAAATATAAAAGGTTTAGACCATTAGATTGCAAGAAGTTTGTGGCAAAAACTCATTTCATTTTCTGTAATGTGCACAAACATTTTAACAAAGCCCCAAAACGCACTCCGCTCCGTTATTGTTAAAACTGCAAGCTAATAGACTAAAAATCGTGCAAAGAAAAATTTCAAATTTAATTCTTGAAATTTCCCTTCTAGGTCGGATATGCAGCGAGAACGTGCACGTGAACGGATCGAGAGAGCTCGCAGGGATATTAAATATTTTTGAAAAAATAATAAATTTAATTTGATTTATTTTTTGCATTTATACCATATTTAAAATCAAAATTAATACTTATTTCCCGTTTAATTAATTGACGTCCTAAAAAAGAAAATGCTAAGATATGAAGATTAAATCCGAACATCTAAGTTAAACATACCCTTTAAAAATAATACAGTTGTCTTTAAAGTAAAATCATTTTTAGATATCTCTTTTTTGTTAAAATAATAATGGTAATTCTTAGCGCATTTTCAACACATGCATTACATACTTGTTTAGGAAATTATCTCTGAATATTAATATTAATCAGACAATGGGAGGTTGAGCATACTGATAATAACCATACCAACAATACTTCCAGTTTACCTAGTCAACATTCACAACATTCAGAACATTCACAGCATTCACAGTACACGGCTCTTCTCTCTATGCAGGTATATATCTCTTTTTTAACATTTCTAACATTTCTTTGTAAAATCAAACTACCAAAAGCATTGCAAAATGATACACATTTTGTTCTAAATAATGATTTTATGAATACGCCACAACTTTTTGTATTTCTAAACCCTCTGTTCTTAATATTGAACAGCATTTTCGATATTAATTATGTTAGGGATTCATCAAATAGTATTGACACTTTTAAATCTCGGTTTTTTTACTTTTAATTAGAGTTTCCAACGCAAGTTTACGAGCCCTGTAAACTCCGCACAATTCCCCACAATTCCCCACAATTCTGCGAACAGTTGCGCGTAACGGAATTAATATTGGAAACAACCTTACTTTTAATATACAGTGATAACCAGAAAACTCTGGAATAGGAAAACGACTTTTAGACTCAGGGTATAACTTTAAATAGTCTAATTAACATGAGGCCAACAATTGTACAGTGTAAACAGACCCATTTCACTTAATAAGTGATTTAACAACTTTCTATTAGAGCTATTTTCTTTGTAACAACATCAAATGCACATCACTATTGCTTTAATGTCGTCTTCATATTCTACAATTTTCTGGTTATCACTTTTAAGATGTTAAACACATGGTAAAAAAGTACATTTTCAATAGGGTTTCTTTCATTGCATTGTAACAAATTCTTACTCGATCGGAATAAGACATAACCCTAACCATTCAATATTTATTTTATGTCCTAATTCTAAATACAGCTTACAGGGTTCAAACAGTTTAAAAAAGCAGAATGTTGGCGCAGTTCAGCCTCAGGTTTAAAGAAGTTTTCGCCCAAAGTAGCATCAATATTTTTCCAAGAGAGTTTGCAACCTTTTGATCTTTGTAGGTAAAACATACAAACTTTAAATAAATGACCGGCAAAGAGAGGCCGGGTTGCTAAAAAGAAAGGAAATACTTACTCAGCGCTGCCAAGGTTACTTAAAGTTATTCCAACCGTTTACCCGCACTTGAACGATTTTAACGGGAAACTAAATTTTCGTTCTTAAAGTCGATCCATGCTCAACTTAGAATCTCAAAACCAAACTAAGAAAATTCCCGTGGATCTCCCGAGTTCCCCGATTAAACTTTGATGCGAATCGGTCCAGGGGTTCCTGAGTTATGATCGGACAAACACCCACACAGAGAGTACAACTATTTTAATCGTGTCCATCAACTAAAAGATCATTTCCGTGGATTTACATTACATAGATTACATTTTAGAAGATAAAGGTTTTGAAAAAATAAAAATTGAAATCTTTGTATTTTTGTTTTTCAAGTTTTACACACATTTTTAACGCTAGGTCCGGAGGAACATCACCTCTATTAATTTTGTGGAAAGTTATTCTTGGTTTCATTTTAAGATAAAACTCTAAATTCAAATTCAAATTTTAGAAAGATATTAAAATTGTATTTGTTTGCAATAGTTTCGGGATTAAATAGCTAATTGTATATAAAATTAAATCTTTTTTGATAAAAAGTCACTATAACTTGATAAATCTGTTGAAACCTTTATACCTAAACCGTATTTTGTATTCAGAATTATCTGTTCCTATAGGTATAACTGTAGACCTTGTAGTAAATACTAACAATATGTTTTTATCCCCAAACATTATTGAAAATATTAAATAATTATTAGAAAAAGAGGAAACATATATTGAATAAATCTTATCAAGGCTAATTTCATTCTTTCTTAAATGTAAATATGTGTATTGGTTAGTTTTCAAACGATTAATTTGACTTTAAAACAGTTCACCAAAAAATTGAAATCTTCAATATAGTTCCAAATCATATGCTTTTTAAGTTTTCTTTTTAAAATGTTAGCTTTAAAAAATACTAAATCAAAACGGAGAACAAAACACGTTTTTAGAATTTTTTGGACAGCTTAATCCTAGCAAACTTTTTACAGTCCTCCTAACCCCTGCAGGGTATGACCAATACAGGATATCGAAGAGAAATTAGATAAATCCGTAGCTAGGTCTGGTTAAGAAGGAATATCAATGCTTAATCACGTGATTAACAATACAGTTCTGACTACTGAGATGGAATTTAAAGAATTTGAGCCGCGGTTTAAATCCGCCAAAAATCCGCCAAAATCCGCCAAAACCCGGTTTAAATTTAGTGCCGGCTTAAATCTTGAAACATTTGATACAATTTTAAGTGGAACCAACCATATTTAAACCGCGGCTTAAATTTAAACCGCCGCTCAAATTCTTTAAATTCGGCCACGGGATTCCTATTTAGAGTTTTACAATTTAGGTTCAAATATCTTGTGAACATTCCTTGCCATACATATACTGTGGTTTTGGAATTTTATTTAAGTGAAATGCGGTGTTTTCATTTTATTTTACACGGAATAAAACCAGAAATGAAAGTTTCCTGTTCTGTATGTATGTACTATGTACAAACAAAATTTAGGGAAATTGAATTCTAAAATTCTTTCCTTTGAAGCTCCCCGGAAGGAAGGAAGGACGCATAAAAAATATCAAATATCTTATTTTCTTTTCCCCTATCCCCATTCCTCGATGCAAGGGAGTGTAAAGGAAAAATGAAAGGGGGTATAGGATTAAACTTGAGAATCTCAGACGTTGAACGATACATATAAAACATCTATCTGACGTTTCTGTCTCGAGAAATTGATATAAAACTGTGTCAAATTATACAAAATTTCATATATATACAATTTTGTATAGAAGTAGTAGGTTTAAACTGATCATATTCAGCAAATACGCAACCAATCTGAGAACGAGTATATCCCACAGGAGCCTGGGAATCTTAGGTTTGCTCATATTATAATTTTCAATAGATATAATTGATAATATTTTTACATATAGTCCGTATTACATCACCAGAACTTCAGCCAATGGCAGTGCAGTTTACTGTTCACGTGATTTCCGTCTGTATTGCAGTTTTATATGAATTTCTCGAGACAGGAACATCAGATAGATGTCTTATATGTATCGTTCAACTCCTGAGATTCTAAGGTTTCATCCTATACCCCCTTTCATTTTTCCTTTACAGTCCCTTTAAAGGGACTTTTAGCGTGATTTCAAGTGACACTCTGTGACTCTACGCAAAGAATTCTCGCTTCACAACGGGTTGTCTGATCAAGTATGAAAAATATATCTATGTTTGTAATTTCAAAACTTATTATTTTCAATTGTGGGTTCTCTACAAATGTAAAAAAAGAACCCATATACACTTTTTGTTGTTCTTCTTCAAGTAATTTGGGAAATTGGGTTTTTGCGTCAGTTCTCCCCCTTCACTTCTCTGAAATGATAAAATTTCCCTCAAAATCCCCCAAATTTCCCCCAAGCTATTTCTAACTTCTCTTATCAGCAATATTCCTTTTCCTGTTGTCACACCACTGCTGCACTAACTTTAGGCTGTATGTATTGTATTTATGGAATTATCGGCGCTTCATGCCACTCTGTTTTATAAGCCTAGATTTATGCTACTTTAGACTTCTGATCTTCATGCCTCTAGGTTGCATGCTACTTTAGACTTCTGATCTTCATGCCTCTAGGTTGCATGCCACTTTAGCCTGAAGGCTTAATGCCGTTAGGTTCATGCCACTGTAGCCTGTAATCTCAATGCCTCTAGGTTTCATGCCACTTTAGCCTGAAGGCTTCATGACTCTAGGTGTCATGTCACTCTAGCCTGTAATCTTCATGCCTCTAGGTTTCATGCCACTTTAACTTGAAGGCTTCATACCTCTAGGTTCATGACACTTTAGCCTTAAGGCTTCATGCCTCTAGGTTTCATGCCACTCTAGTCTGTAGTTTTCATGCCTCAAGGCTTCATGCCACTCTAGCCTGTAGTTTTCATGCCACTCTAACCTGCAGTCTTCATGACACTCTAGTCTGTAGTCTTCATGCCACTCTAGCCGTGGTCTTCATGCCACTCTAACCCGCATTCTTCATGCCACTCTTGCCTGTAGTCTTCATGGCACTCTAGCCTGTAGACTTGATGGCACTCTAGCCTGTAGTCTTCATGCCACTCTAGCCTGTAGTCTTCATGCCACTTTAGCTTGTAGTCTTCAATCCACTCCAACCTGTAGTCTTCATGCCACTCTAGTCTGTAGTCTTCATGTCACTCTAGCCTGTAATCTTCATGCCACTGTAGCTTGTAGTCTTCATGAATCTAGGCTTCATGCCACTCAAGCCTGTCTTCATGCCCCTAGGCTTCATGCCACACTAACCTGTCTTCATGCCACTTCTTATTCTTTCACTTCTTTACTCCAAGAATTGTTTGAGCCAAATTTTTTTTCTTTTTTTTAGAATGGAGGTGAGGCATCTACCCCTCGTGTGTCCCTGAGAGGATACCCTATAGGATACCCTCACCCTCCCTCCTACATGAACCAGTCTACCCCCCTAGAGCGCCCCTGCGAGATCCATTTAGCAAGCAAGGGTGGGTTCGGCTGCTACAGGTCAGGAAATAAGTAAATATTTAAGGAATTAATAAATTAATTATATATTCTTGTTCCAGAACAAATTACGTGATTAAATATTAATTGTGTAATTAATTCAAGAGCATCTTGGAACAAGTAGAGATGGGCTCGTTTTTTACTCTAGTAAATATTCAAGAGTTTTGATTTTATTTTTAAGACTCCACAGCGGTCTGAGATGATTTTTCGTTTTCAAAGAATACAATTTTGAAAAATGACAGACATGATAGATTATTAAGGAACCCTTAACTGCAGTAATTGTCGACAACAAGAGTTGTATGCTTGATGAAAATGGTAACCTTTAAACCTGTCTTTGAACATAAATATTTAAAATATAGATCAATGTTTCGTTCCAATTGCTAGGCTTTGGGGTTTCTTTAAACGTGACTTTCGGATTTGTAAATAAGATGACACTTTTCTAGTTAAAAAATGAGGTTATCATCCTCATTGCTGCTCAAATACAGACTTAAAGGGTACCGTTGTTCATACAGCATATCACTCTTAATTTTAAATGGGAATTTTCTTGGGATCATATTTACAAAAAAAATCATATTCTTGTGAATTGTGAAGCCTCAAAAAAAGTAGAAAAAGTAAAAAAAGTAGAAAAAGTAGGAAAAGTAGGAAAAGTAGAAAAAGTAGGAAAAGTAGAAAAAGTAGGAAAAGTAGAAAAAGTAGGAAAAGTAGAAAAAGTAGAAAAAGTAGAAAAAGTAGGAAAAGTATAAACAAACAATGTCCATCTCTAGGATGAAAGTAGATTAAGTATTTCTAATTAGAAACTAGTAATTCAGATTAACCATGCAGGAGTACTTTCATGGAGAATGTATTACAAGGAGTTGAATATATTATATATTCATGGAGTGTATATTACAAGGAGATAAATATATATCAGATATTCGTGGAGTATAGAATACAAAGATTTAAATATATATTTTCATGGAGTGAGTATAGAATACAAGCTGTTGAATATAGAGTATAATCATGGAATATAGAATACAAGGAGTGAATATAGAATATATTCATGGAGTATAGAATACAAGTAGTTGAATATTGAATATATTCATGGAGTATAGAATACAAGGAGTTGAATATTGAATACATTCATGGAGTATAGAATACAAGTAGTTGAATATTGAATATATTCATGGAGTATAGAATACAAGGAGTTGAATATAGAATATGTTCATGGAGTATAGAATACAAGTAGTTGAATATTGAATATATTCATGGAGTATAGAATACAAGGAGTTGAATATTGAATATATTCATGGAGTATAGAATACAAGGAGTTGAATATATAATATATATTTATGGAGTATAGAATACAAGGAGTTGAATATATCATATATTCATGGAGTATAGAATACAAGGAGATAGATATATATCATATATTCATGAAGTATAGAATACAGGGAGTTGAATAAAGAATATATTCATGGAGTATAGAATACCAGGAGTTGAATATAGAATATGTTCATGGAGTATAGAATACAGGGAGTTGAATACAGAATATAGTCATGGAGTAAAGAATACAAATATTTTCAGAGCTAAATTTATCTTGAATCTCCATGTTTAGAACCAAATCGCTTCTGTCTAAGTTTGCGAGCCGAGCGAAGAGAATTGATGTCATCTCACGATTCATCTTCCCTCTTCTTTTCGCAATCTTCAACCTTGCATACTGGCTCTACTATCTTCTAGCTAAAGGAAGTAACGAAGATTTCGAAGATTAACCAATCAAGCGAATATAAATAGACAACAATTTATTTTAAGCAGATTTAAGAATTTCCGGTGACTCCATTTTAAAGGATAATCAATATTTCATATGTATATTGTACACCCACTTTTCTCATATTTCAGAATTAAACTCGACAATGTAAATAAAAAGAGGTTTCTCTGAAGTATAATTCAAACCCTAATAGATATTTATGGATATAAATCAATTTTCGAGTTTCTAATGATCTTCGCTCTGTGACCAATATATATAATAAAGTGAAATATTGTAAATAATGTTTTTAGAATTACAATTTGAGAACATGACAACTACGAAATAATAAAAATTAACAATTTGATAATGTTCTTCCTAATTTTCAAATAGGTTTAATCATAGTTTAAACATGAAATATACGATACTTATGAGGGTCATTTTTGTTATATCTGCCTATACTCTACCTAAACTCTACGTATTCTTGTAATATCTGCCTATACTCTAACTAAACTCTACGTATTCTTGTATAATATCTGCCTATGCTCTAACTAAACTCTACGTATTCTTGTAATATCTGCCTATACTCTAACTAAACTCTACGTATTCTTGTAATATCTGCCTATACTCTAACTAAACTATAGGTATTCTAGTAATATCTGCCTATACTCTAACTAAACTCTACGTATTCTTGTAATATCTGCCTAGTGCGTATACTCGAACTAAACTTTACGTTAACTATAGATTTCGAATTTTTTTCATTTTAGAAAGAAGAAAATTGCAGTTCATACACAAATGTATATAAATTCAAGGGTTTAGGTAACTGTTGTTAATCGCGTATGGTACTCCTTATGGAAGGTTACAAACCCTTACTTATATTCAATGTTTTCCTCTTTATTTATTCGTAGTTCTGCCGTAAAAGTTGGTGTTAAATGTTTATAGAATGTGTGTTTATGAAACACCAAATACAAGTTCATTTTGGCGGGTATTATTGTAAACATTTATGTGTAGATGTACAGTACAATTTATGTATACCTTTACACAATCAAGTGAAGAATTTAAGTAGGGGGGATAGGGGTTGTGAACATATTTTTTACTATCACTCAGTAAGTTTGTTAAAGGAAAGAATTATGATTATTGCATACTATGCATAAGTTGGCTTAAGGCATTTTTGAAATTTTTGAAATTCCACCGGCAACGCCGAACTCTTCAGCCAAAATCAAGCACGAGTAAACGGCGGGAGTAACTATGAATAATAATATAAACCAATTTCTGAGCAGTTCTAAAATAACACATGGTATTTATACTTTCAAATCATATCCCCCCACTTTAGTTCTACACACATTAACTTTGAATAGAAAAATATTGCAACATATATCACAGATAGGTTTATAAAATTTTATCATGATAATAATGCTATATAGACAATACCACACCTCTACGCCTGTCTATTTAAAATATGCCAATTGACAATCTATATAAGCATACAAACTTTAAATTCAAATTATTGACATCAATTTTAAAATTGTGAATATTTTGCTTTTGAATGTCTCTTTTTAATTCATCAAAAAACTATGTTAGATTGAACAACATGTATATTCAAAATAACATATTAAAATGTTAAAAAATCATTTTAAATGAAATGGCGTTTAAAAATTGGAAATATTAAAAATTTCACAATAATAGTAGACACATGAATACTGAATAGCTGGTTAAAGCTATAATACATTAAGGAGATAATAAAATATCATGTAATTATAATTTATTTATAAAAACTTCCCTGTAAAATAAAAATTACATACAATGGTCTAAATATGTATATTGTAAAAGTGAAAATATGTTCAAAAAATATTGTAAAAAACTGTAAATATGTTAAAAAAATGAAAAAAATTATCTTTATCAGTTAACTGTGATAATGTTTGTGAAAATATTAGAAAATAAATTCTCTTTTTATAATGAAACTATTTAATGTTTTGAATGTATTGAATGTTTTGAATGTATTGAATGTTTCGAATAAAGTGAATGTATTGAGTGTATTGAATGTAGTTAATATAGTGAATGTATTGAGTGCAGTGAATGTAGTGAATGTACTGAATGTATTGAATGTAGTGAATGTAGTGAATGTAGTGAATGTAGTGAATGTAGTGAATGTAGTGAATGTAGTGAATGTATTGAATGTAGTGAATGTAGTAAATGTATTGAATGTAATGAATGTTTCGAATGTAGTTAATGTATTGAATTTAATGAATGTTTCGAATGTAGTGAATGATGGGGACGATCCGCTCTCAATGTCACACAGAGACACAAGCCTAGCTAGCTATCAAACAAGCTATTGATCCCAAATAATGGGACGATCTTCAACCTGTTTATCAAAACAGGGGACGATCTTTAACCTGTTTATCAAAACAGGGAACGATAACTCTCTCGCAGTAAACAGTACGAAGTTACTCTATAAACTGAGGTTTATTTCTTTAGTTCAGATTAGAATTGGGTCATTAACAGCATAATAATTTCTGCTCTTTTACATATAACGTAGTTAAACAATCACAATATGGGTATGACGGAGTGAAATCTATGAATTTCAGCGGGTTTTCAGGCCCCAACGGGTGCTAAGCCCCCCTGGAAAGAAAAAATGTAAGCCCCCCCTGGACAAATTCCTGAATACGCCCCTAATATATATATATATATATATACAGGGTGAGTAAAAAAGTGTGATTTGCGGCGCCTGTTGCAAAATTTTACCTTTTTTTATGCAACTCTCCTATTTTCAATATTTAAAAAAAAAAATTTTTTTTTTGGTACTTCAATGGCCCAAAAAAAATCCGCGAACCTTTTTGTCTCTCAAAATCAAAATGAATGTAGTGAATGTAGGAAGTGTATTGAATGTTGTGAATGTATTGAATGTAGTGAATGTAGTGAATGTATTGAATGTAGTGAATGTAGTGAAAGTAGTGAATGTAGTGAATTTAGTGAATGTATTGAATGTATTGAATGTATTGAATGTAGTGAATGTAGTAAGTGTATTGAATGTTGTGAATGTATTGAATGTATTGAATGTAGTAAGTGTATTGAATGTTGTGAATGTATTGAATGTAGTGAATGTATTGAATGTATTGAATGTAGTGAAAGTAGTGAATGTAGTGAATGTAGTGAATATATTGAATGTAGTGAATGTATTGAATGTAGTGAATGTATTGAATGTAAGATAATAAAGTTAGAGAAATGTTTCTGCGAAGTGAATTGAGTTCACTTTGTTTACTTTCAAACGAAACTTTCTCTATACAGGGTTTCCATTTTTATTTTACTTTACCTTTCGTATTTACACAGGGTTTCCGTTAGATTCTCTTTTATTTTACGGGTTCAGTTGTTGGTCTAACAGGGTTTCAGTTAGATTATTATTGACTCGTATATTGTATATGGACATAAAGCGTAACTTAAAGTGACCTTTTATTTAAAGAGGTACATCCCTGATTCACAACGGTAGGTCCTTTAAACCTTTGATTGATCATTAAGGATAGATAACTGTATATATATCTTAAATACCGCGTAAAATACGTAAAATTGAAGTGTATACTAGCGTACTGTGTGAACTCACATCAATTCCGGGAAAAAATAGAATATTCTTAGTCTAACGTGGTTTATAAAAGTTTGAATGTGAATATTCATATTTTGCCATTTCTAGAAAGTAAATATTAATATTCCTTAAATACAAAACATCTTCCAAACACAGTTTAAACAATTACAAGCATTTCTGCAGATAAATAAGAAAACGTCTGTGATCGGACAGAGGTAGAGTTCCTTTAATATTATTTTGTGGATAAAACAGCTCATAATTATATGGATATTAGAATATCGTCATACACTGAACAATTTAAAAAATAAAAACAGTAAACAAATTTTTTAAAATAAAAATAGGCCCTGTTTGGTATATGCAGAACGTTTATCAAACACCTTCAAATAATTAATTCAATGAAACACGATTTCCGCGGCAATTAATCATATCTGGGGTTAAGATCTAACAATTTAAAAAGATATTCTTTCGTTGTCTTAACTTATTCACTGCACTTAATCCGTTTAACCCGCTTTCTATCATGAATCGGTGGGTTGGGTACTAGCGCATAGAAAATGTTGGGAAAATTATTGAAAAAAAAAATTTATATATTTGTGGACGAAACTGCATTCTATTTATGAAGAATTTTGATATTTTGTATTTTCCCTCTGCATTCACATATTTATATATTTATATATTTATACATTTTAGAAATAGTTCAGTTGACAGTTGCAATTAGCAAATTTCAAAACCCTTAACGGCGCGATATATTTTAGTTTTTAAAAAAGAATTATACTAAACACAATGTTTCACGTCTCATAACGATCCTGAGAAGTCAAAATTCTTTATGCTTATGTATTTATATACATGGTGTTCCAAAAAACATGGGAATTCAGTGACGAATGCGATATCGTCTTTGTTATGAATTAGCATTGTAATAGCTAATTTAAAAAGCCATAATATTTTTTTTTTCTGCTAGAGTTTATTTTTTGAAAAGGGTAAAAGACTGTAAAGATGTGTCTATAATGGTTCCGTAAGATGAACAGTGAAGACGGACAAGTTTACTCTGTTTGTATTCTGCAATTTTCTTGTTTTTCTAAGTAAAACCGTATGCAGTCAAAACATAAACAAACAAAATGTGAACATGGCAGACGAAACTCTTACAGATTACAGCTTTCTCAGTAGGTATCACTATGCTAAATCAAAGAATTATTTAAAAAGACGATATCGTATTCGCCATTGAATTCCCATGTTTATGGGACACCCTGTATTTATAAATTTACATGTTTAATATTTATATATTCATATTTATATATCTAATATTTATATATGTAGATAATTGTATTTCAGTAAAAATGCTGCTTTGAACTTGTTGCATGCACTGAGCTAGCTTTCAAGCCTTCTCTGATCTATGAAATAATAGAATTCAAGGGAATGTTGGCGAATTATCAAGAGGCCTGTTACTCTTAAATAAAAACGAAACTGATTTTTTTTCAATTGTGTTTTTTTAAGTAATTTGCGTATATCTGTTAGAGAAGTAAGAAAGGAATCTTTCGGAATTCAAAACTTATGTTTAGATATTTTTAAATACTGTTTCATATCAGATTAAGGATCCATGGGTACCGTTGTGAATCGGGCATTTAGGGTCACTTAAATTAAATCTACAGTCTCTTTAATATTTGTTTGTTTCAACAACAGTTTCGTACAATTTTTTATATTTTAGGAGACTTTTATCTTTATCTGAATATCTTCCAGACCCTCTTAACATTTCATGCTTTGGACATTCCTTTTTATTTCAGGTCAAAACTTTACATTCA